TGTCAGATGCATCACATGACCGAGCCTCCCAGTTCTTGGCCAGTTATTTACCTTGTAAAAATTTCGAGTGAAATTCTTAATTAATCACGAGCGAAATAGATAAGTAATCTCATTGTCTTTTTCGAGCGATATATATAGCGAAATTCCAAAAGAAAAAGATAATCAATTACAATGTATTTTTTCGTACAAAATAGAAGACACTTTTCCACTGTAATTTGTATTGAAAAAGGTAAGTAATTACAACAATAATTTCGGCAATAATTTCGCCCGATATTTTTTGACGCTGGCGTAGTGATACTGGGTCAGGGAACAGCCTTAATAAAGAAACCAATTACAAAAGGACAGGACAAAAGGGCGTGTCGGGGCATCGTAATTACATGCATATAAAAAGAGCGATATAGACCAGTAGGACTGAGGAGACAGTGCGTTTGTAAAGCAAGTAAGAGTACAGGATGTACGTCAGTCTCATCTCAAGGACGAGAAGGAAAAGTAAGACGGTTCGGTTATGTCTCTCTTTCAGCTTTTTTTTTTGCCTCTCAGACGGATGTGTGTAGAGAACTTCAGGAGGCGAATGGGCATCGGAGTGACGATAGGTTGTGGCTGTCCCTTTCATCAATTACTAAAGAGTGCGTTGGGCGAATGCAGCCTAACCCATCAGCAATTTCACACAAATGTAAACCGTATAATTGCATACTCGGTGTAATCAAAATGCCTATACATACCCCATCATACCTTGCCAAGATTTGATCAATCATACTCGTAGTATAATCATTATACCTGATTATACCCAGTTATACACAGCTATACATTGCTATGATGGGCTGTACCAGCACTAGGATTTAGCTTATTACAAGGCCTTAAGCTTTAACTTCTTGTTGCCAAAGCATTCCGTGAAAATTTCAAGTGTCAATGATGAACTTTTACTACTAGTAGTGAACTCGAAGAGTGGACACAACATTTGAAAACAACTAAGTCAAGTGGCCGGCACTTGATGATCTCGTGACAGCTACCAAACGCTACTGTACAGGTCAATCTCACGGTTTTTCTCCTCACTTTTCTTTTTTCTGTTCTCTCATCACTCGTCGCCCGCCCGTTGCTGAACGCCCATGCCAACTATTTATTGATATTACAACTGAAGGATACTCAAGCAAACTTTAACAGCATCAAGATCACAGATGATGAACAACTGAGGTTCTCGTTGCTTGGGTGAGTGGTCTTCCATACTCCGACTATCTTTTTTATCTAATGTAAACAACTTCTTGTAATCCAGGATATCATTCTCTGTGATCGTGTCTCTCTTTCTTAGTCTCTGTGGCTGTTTGAGAGATCAAGGGCTTCAGTACGTCTTATTTTTCTCCGCTTTGAACAAGTCTCTAACTTTGTTTAAACTTTTTCAGGTCTTCGAAGTGCTCAGGAGTTATCTCTTTCATTTGGTTGTTTCGGGTTTTGGAGGTTCTGAAGGCGATCTGTTCAAAGTCTTGGTACATTTTTTTTTCTTGTTTAAACAAGCTCTTGATTCCGATTTTCAAGTCTTCAATGTGTTCAAGAGATATTGAGAATGAGGATAGGCTGAATATCGGCGGCAAGGGTATATGTGGCTGTCGTGGAGTTTTTTTTTACTTGCATGTATCTCATAACCTATGTACAGTAGTAGAGCATTGAGCGGTAGTGTACCAAAGCAATAATGATTATTTTTCGTCCTTCTTTCACTGTTTTAATGTATAATGAGCAATAATAAGTGAAAACTGGACCTATAATATTGGTATGAGTGAGTATAATGAGGTATAATGCTGTATAATGACAAGGCATAATCAGTATAAAGAGCGGTATAATCAGACAAAATCGGGTGTGTAAATATGCATAATGAGCTATAATGAGGCATTTCCATTATGCACTCGGGGTCTATACATACCAAATATACCTCCCGATAATTGTATAATCAGGCGTGATCCGCATGTATACACGCCAATCATACCTGATCACGATTGTGGAGAAATGCTGATGGCCTTCCTTACCACTTGACACTTGTCAGTGCGCAATATTCCTCTCGATATACTATGTTGACTCGGAGTGATGCACGAAAAGATATCTTTTAATCATTGGATGCATTACGCCCCTCCAAGGGAGTGCCAAAAGATCCCACCTTGAAGCAAATTCAAATCAAAGTAGTTTTCTTGTATTCCAATTTGAACTGGGAGGATATTTCGTCGATTATTTGACACATGGATTATTGCTTGAAAAAAAGTTTCTGTCAGGCCATATATGCATACCAATTGCACAGCGTCAATGTGTCGTACATCTTCCAGTGCTAAAGTTGGGGCGCATACTTCCAAAAAAGGAAAGTCTGGAGCCTACACAATGCTGCCAGACTGTCAGGTATTTCCATAAAAAGGAATATCGAGGACCACTGTGCTCCATTGGAACAGTCAAATTTCTAAAAAAGGAAAATTCAGAACCATTGCAGCTACGCGTTGACCGTGTTGACCGTGTCGGATGCTGCTCTTTGAACGAGAACTTTTTTCCCCAGAAACCATTATTTTTGAAAATAGCAATAATATTACAGCTGTACAGCTAGCCTGAGGCGCTAGGCAGTTACTAGTGGGAGTTCCGTTCTTATAATAATAAACTTCATTGTCTGAAAAAAAGCATCATTCATGATTTCTTCGAATCAACGTTTCTAAAAAGCGGAAATCCCGTGAGCGCTTATGCACTAAACATGGCATGATGATCACAAGATGACATCAGACATATCAGCAAAATGTGGGTTGCCGCTTCTGGCACGTTTTGCTGACCACCTAACCACTTTCTTCCATGCTTTAGCAGGTTTATTCATCTACAGGTATGTAAGTTATAGAAAATTAGTAGTGTATCTTGTTCCTTTAGCTGAGATCCATTTATTTAATCAAGCTTGCCCCGCCAAATATAAGTAAGTAAAGCAAAATAACCCTGTGGCTTTGCGATATGAACACTCCGGCCCATTGCTGCACAAAAAACACTCTGGGGTCGTCGATTCGCTTAAATCCTGTATCGCTCTGTGCTATAAATGCTTTAAAGAAATGGTTGCTTTGTCATGGATATTTGGAAAAGTTGAGACTGGCAGCACTCCCGTTTAGACTGTCAATCTGACCTTGTAAGCATCAGCACGGGAGAAAGGGGGCTCGGGATATGGATATTATTGCGACTCGAGCGCGGTATAGTAATCGCACCTGGAAACTATACCGCAAGAGGTATGCAATGTCCGAGTTGCATCGTAAAAGTCTTCTTCTGACTTCTATAGTGCAGTGACATTGGACTTCCGCTCTATGATTAGCAGTCACAACGTAGGGCGGTGGCAAGGCGCATTTGCCGCTTGCACCTAGCCAAAATGATAGGGATGATAGATCAGTGCTGTCATTTACAGCCGTACTCTCTCTCGAGTTTATGGTTCCGTGAGTCTCGTATAATGATCTGCAGAAGGTTTAACCAGCTCTGGACAGTCTTTTTTTGGCTATCTCATCGCTATATAAGAGATGACGGCTGAGCGACCCAGGCAACCCGGTAAAGATGAGTCTCTCTGAAGCAGAAGTCAAGGTTATTTGCCAAACTTTGGCAGAAACCACTGATTTTTGCGTGTTCCCTCTTCTCGTGGAGACTATTCTCTGGGTAGGTTCTCCATATCATATCCTCATTTGGAGTCAATATTCACATTGAACATTCGTAGCCGTATTCACCGTGCTCATCTTCACGATGTCCTATATCATTGTGTAGGAGTTACCTTCTGATAACCTAGGTATCAACATTGAAAGTTAATAACTAACAGATCTCGAGGTCTTCGCACGCGCTCAAGAAAAATAATGCTGACCTTCACTCTTGTAATGTACACACTTTCCACTTTGGATTGGGCGACGTCCGTCGTGTTTGGACGGACCTGAAAATCTCTATCCCCACCGAGCTTTCTTCCCTCAGGACAACGAATCCGCGCTCAACACCGAGAACACACTTTTGCGTGTTATTCAGGCGATAACCGGTAACATCTGTGTACGTTGTCTTGATCCCTTTTAAACTTTTCCTGTTCAACTTTCATCGCAGGTCGTACTTGGCGATATGGTAGTATGCTGGAGGGTGTGTGTGGTTGGCCAACAAAAAAAAGCGTCATTGCAACGGCTATTTTTTACTATTGATTTTAGCTGGTAACTGTGCATACTCCACTCACCCCAGGCTATAGTACTCTTATGCACTTCTCAGCCACGGCACTAACATCAACATGTAACCTAACTCAAATCGGAAATGGTTCCCCAAACTTGATGCATCTGCACGCTTTGGCTCCTTCTCCTTCAGCTCCTCTGCGCTCATTAACATATGGGCTACTGGCATGATAGCTTATCGAGTGTAAAGATGTCCACGAGTCCGAGTTATCCGCAGGTACTTGCAGGTATGACCATGAGAATACTCGCAGGTATGTCTACCTGTGGATCCAGGTATCCGTTTCCCACGGATCCGTACAGGTCACGGGTATCGATCCAAGCAAATTTGTGCTACCTGCAGGTACCTGCAAGTATTTGTGGGGAGCGCAAGAATAAAATTTTTTCGCTCAAATAACGGCTGGAATATGCTCTCCACTGTGCACTAGACCTTGTCTGAGCAGCTCATCTGTCCACCTAGCATGTAGCAAGTTACAGGTGGCTATATGCACTGTTGTACACTATACAATCATGATGAATATAGTCCCTCTTCAACTTCAGTGACTTGTATCACTCAAGGACCACTTTCGATCCTAGTCGATACAGACTAGATAATTAGAAGATGTTATCTGCGTCTATCGACGCTACTGACGAGTAATGGGGAGAGACAGAAACAGGTAATAAATCCCGGTGCCCGTTAGTTAATATCGGTGCCGGGATTAATTACTGAAGTCTGCTGGGGGTGTGATCTGTACTGATTGGTTCAGATCACCGTCAGTAGGGACGATGTCTTCAGAGTTGATCTTCAGATTTTGGTCAGGTATTGTCGTGGTGTATCAGGTTCAGATGGTGTAATGGCTAACACAATGATATTGAGTATGTTTCCCGGTGAGGTCAATTCCTCAATTTTCATCAGTTTCATAGATGAGGGTTCGAATCCTTCTCTGGACTTTGGAAATAAATCTCATAAATTGAATTTTTTTTTTTTTTTTTTTTTTTTTTTTTTTGGTGGTCGTAATTTGGGGTTGGATGGTGGGTCGATAAAAGTGATATATGCGTGTTTATCTTAAGTTAAGATAACTTATGAGGTGGTAACAGAATGAAGAGAGTCCGGCGCTAATTATCCCGTCTGCTCTCCTTTACGAAAACACAGTTACTTTCCCACAGTCAGTAACTTTCACTTTCGATCCTAGTCGATACAGACTAGATAATTAGAAGATGTTATCTGTGTCTATCGACGCTACTGACGAGTAATGGGGAGAGACAGAAACAGGTAATAAATCCCGGTGCCCGTTAGTTAATATCGGTGCCGGGATTAATTACTGAAGTCTGCTGCAGGGGAGTACAGGAGGAAGGTCGTGATTAGAAAGGTCTTTCCAATCCTACGAAGTTGAAGCTGCAAGCGCGTCGTTTCTGATGACGACTTTCCCAGAGAGTGTGCTCAAGCTTGTAGTGAGACTGTACGAATCAGATATTAAGTCCCGATAGTGTAATGGTCAGCACACGGACAGTTTATGCGATTTGCATCTTCTTCCTAAGTAGATGGAGGTTCGAGTCCTCCTCGGGACACTGCACCTAGCGCAAACCTTGTTTCTTTCTTTAATAATAATTTTGAATGTTTGGTTGTGTGCTTGTCTGACTGTAAGTGTACGTTGTTTTCATAGTAGTTATACATGTAGTTATATGTGTAGTTATGTAGAAACTCGTTATACTTGAGCCAAGTTAATTAATTCCTGAATCTGGGCCGCGTATCCTTTCTGTACATGGATACGATGGATGTGTAGCGTGGCTAAGGAGTCAAGGTTTCTCCAGTACTTTATGAATGCATCCGATTTCCACCTCCCTAGTACTTTCACAACATCGCACGGTATGCCTGCTAGCAGGTAGTAAGTTGTACCTCCGATTCTGAAGCAGTGGCCTGTCATGCGAGGTATGCCGTGTCTGTACCATACACGATTGCAGACCTCTAGCAGAAGTTTCTTCGTCAGTACCTTCAGCTCGCCGTGTTTGTCTCGATATGCGAATAGTGGGTCGTTGGGAGATAGTTGATTGATACGGACATGTCTGTCGATCGCGTCGTTGGGATCAGTGATGCTATCCTGTGGTGAGAGGATGACTTCTTCGCCTCGGATAGGTTCCGTCTTCGTGCTCGGGAGTTTAAGACGACGACTGCAATCAGGATTGTATGCGCGAAGACAGGCGACCGTGGAATAGAGCTTGCGATCAAATCGTTCAACGAATGGAGAAGGTGTTAGCACTTCGCCAGCTCTGATTTGACCGTAGAACATCGTGTCTGCCGCCGCTATGACGCAGACATCCAGTCCATCGTTCAGATTGAGTTCGGTATGGAGGAGTTTGAGATGTTCTTCTTTCACTGGAGGACGTTCCTCGCGACGAGATGAGAGAGGAGCTTTGCGTTCTACACCGATGAGCATTTGGCGTAAGTTTTCTCCACCTCGGTATGCATGACCTCTGCGGATGGTCCACCCTTTGATAGCGGACAAGTGAGTCTTTGCTGTACCGCCAGCGAACTTTCCTGCGAAGGTGGCTGCGTACTCGCATAGGACCCATTCTGGGGCAGGGAGACACTGATGTTGTTTGAGTCCTTGTCCGTCTGCCCATACGAGAAATCTCCGAACAGCGTTCCATTTCTTCATGGCAGTTTTTCCTTTTACCGATGCTCCCAGTGTTTCCTGTGCATGTGCACTGAGTCTCTGCATCGCGTTAATCTGTCCATTGTCTCTGTGCGCCATCGGCTGGTCGGATATGTCATTAGTCTGTCTAAATGTTAGCTGTGTGGTTGCATCTTTGTTTGCATTTCCGTCACCTTGGAGTTATTGGTTTGTTTGGTAATGTTCTGTAGTGGTTGTGTTAGCGACGGTAGCTTGATTGTGAGACGTTGTTTCTGGTGAGTTTGTTGGATATATGGCCTGAAAGGCATGTTGGTATTGGTAGTAGGAATAATAGGTTTGTTTGTGTATGTTGTCAGCTTGCCATGCTAAGTGCGTGTATGCGTCGGGTGATGAATCTTTACATTTCGGAGGTGAATTTACATAGTGTACTAGTGTGACTACTTTCTGGTCAGTTCTTGTGCAAGTAATCTAGCGTCGTTCGGTGTGATTGAGTTATGTACGTAGTTTCGTAAGTGATGAGGAATCTTTGGTGGTCTAGGATGTATCTGCTTTCTCGGAGGGAAAACTCCACGAGACGGGGCATCAGCTAAGTTGTCGTGTGTCGAGATCCATTGGCATTCGACCCAGATATCATGTCCCTGCATCAGTTCGACAATCTTCCTTAGGATGAGGTTCTGTTCATGTCCTCTTGAATTGCCCTTCTTCAATGCTCCGACCACTCCTTCGTTGTCAGAGCGAATTTCGATTCGGATCTTTTTCTTGCCGGAGGTGATCAGTGTCTGTAACGCGAGTTCTACGGCCACCATCTCCGCCCAGCCGATGTGACGTTCGTTGTTTGGGCCCTGCCAGTACGGTTTTAGCTCCCAGGCCAACCATCTGTTGTCCCATACGAGACCTATGCCCCAGCCTGTGGAGGCGTCGACATGAATGATGTCCTTTTCGAGTTTCATGGGGGGTCTGATCTTCAGACCAAGGAAATCCTGACGAAGACGATTCTCCCACCAGATGATGTCTTCTCGTAAGGTTCTTGACACTGTGTGTTTGAGGAAGTGATTGTGCTCTTTGCCTTTGAACGAAGATCGGAAGGCATAGAGCTGTGTAAGATACGACCTCCCTTCAGGTACGACGAGGCATACGTGATTGAGCGTGCCTATCAGTTTCTCTGTTTCGGCTAGAGAGATTTTTCGGATCTGATAACCATGGTTGTAGGCGATCTAGATATTTCGTCTTCTTCTTTTCTGGGAGTTCCACTGTGCGATTGATAAGATTCCATAAGAAACCTATGTATAAGAAGGACGAGCTAAAATCGACGAATTTGTTCGGTGCCCATGGCCATCCTAGGTAATCCGCAATTTGCCAGATGAGGCTGGCATCATATGAGTATTCGTATTCTCCGTTGTTTAGGCGACGTTTGGGGTAACGGAAGAAAATGAAATCATCTACCCATTTGAGGAGAGCTTGTATTCCGAAGAAGAGAAATATTATGACGATGGCGTCTGCAACTATGCCGAAGATGCCTGGTGCTGAACGTTCGCCAAAGTTTAACGCTAGGTCTAGGTGTATCATGCCGTCCAGAAGTAGTGCGACGTGTTTCCGCACTGACGGGTGTAGAGGGATGTTTCTAAATGCAGCGTCAACGTCAAAGACCGCCACCTGTGTACCTGTGGATGTGAATGGACGGTGAGTGGCTCAGTTTCTGGCCCTGATATATAAAGTTTACCTTCGGGTGCGTCTGCTACCAATAGATAACAGTCTGAGAATGTGCCCCAATCACACTTGTAGTTGTCTGGATCTATGAGGGAGTTTATAGATATGTTTGAGGGGTCCACCATGGTGGGTTGAGATGAGATATCGCTGATGTGAGGTGGTGACAAGATAGTGGAGGTATCGCTGGTGCCATCTGTTGTCGATGGGTTGTGAGGTGAAGTGAGAGTTAAGAATTTTTCTAGAGCTTGTTCGTTTCGTGGATGAGAGTGGTCAATTACAATGCGTGGTTTATTCTGAATGACTACTGCCATGGGCGCGGTGCGATATGGTCCGATTGCTTCCTCGAGTTCGACTGGGTCGAAGGCTTGCGAGATTCTGCCTAATGCGATTTCGTCTGTGAACTTGGTGCGAATGATTTCTGCTTCTGATTCTGTGCGAAAGTGATTCCTAGTGATATATGTTTTTTCGATGTCATGGTTTTCTACTCCGATTAAGAAACCTTCCGATAGCCCGATCGGAATGTGGCTGTATTCCTCCAGGATGCCTGCCTGTGAGAGAAGATCCGTCCACGCCTCAGGCTTCAGGCGTGTGGTGATAGGCAGATTATCGATTATGGTTCTGAGAGTTGTGGTCGGTGGAACCGCACCGTCCACAGGCGTGCTTGAAATTGCACTTGTTATGTCTGCAGCCGGTGCCGTTGTAGCTAATGCAAGGGATTCTTCCGGTGGAGTCAAACCAGCTGTTGCCCTTCCGGATGAGTTGTGTGGTGGACTTCTGTCCATCCGAAGCCTTTTCGTCATGTTCTCTCCAACCATGTCGTCCACCGCAGAGGTAGCAGACCATGTTCTCCTCCGACGAAGAGTCTGACTTTCGTCGTGATCCTTGTGTGGGAGGTGCACTGCGTGTGCGAAATGAGTCTGTCTTTTCTCCACGTCTCGTGGATTTAGACGACGATGATGACTGCGAGTTGGACTGGTACGACTGTTGAGAGTTGGATTGGTTTGAGTGTTGTGAAGCCGCATGATTCAGAGCCGCTGTGGCTCTATTATTGCGTTCATTAAGAATCTGAGCAAAGGCGCCCTCGTGGAAGTAGCCAATGTGGATGGGATCATCCGGATAAGTGTGCCACTGTTTGTAAGCACGATGGGCGTATTCCTTGTATGCCTCGAAAGCTTGGAAGTAGTCCGGGCGTTCAACCATCGAGGTGAACAGCATCTCAAACATGTTCGCTATGTCTAAGGCGATGGGTGCTCGAGGGTAGTGGTCCCCATCGACGATGAGTTCTTCACGGAGAAGTCTTGGCATATTTATGATTATGGCGGACCACTCGTCTCTTGTAATGTCCCTGAGTGGTTTGTCCGTGAAACGATCCCTCTTTTTGACACGTATGTTTCCCCCGTCATCCTCGAAGTGCAAGGATTCGTGCATGAAGGACTCGTCCCAGGTAGTGGAGTCCATGTGTTTGTTCCCGAAATAAGCTAGAGGAATGAAGTGGTGAAACCCCGAACGCAGTGTGGCCACGACATCAGTGTTGAAGCGGTGTTTGGCCTGCCAGGGGGCAGTCCTGGAGCCGATCGCAATCTGGCTGGGAGCCGTCCATGCCTTCGTGACCTTCCGATGGTCCGTCCTCGAGTGTTCGGGACGTCGTTGTCCGACATCCTGCTGTGGCGGGTAAAGGTTCGGTTCTGGATAGTGTGAAGACATGTGCTGTTGGTGCTGTGGGTGTTGGTGCTGGTGATGCTGGGAGTATGGTTGGTATGGGTATTGGTAGTTGGGATGTTGAGACGAGGCGTCTGCCCGTTGGTCCCAGTGTTGTGGAGGTTGGTAAGGTGCGTGATTCTCAGGCGGAGGTTGTGATGATCGTGGAGGGTGCTGAGGGTGAGAAGGGCCCTCTCTCGATCTAACTGGATGAGGTGAGTTCGTATATGCGTGCTTTGCCTGATTCAATGCTAGGTCTGGGTCCATGAGACCCCCGGGTTGTAGCGGATCGACTTTGTAGAAAGGAAGAATACCGGGGCGTTCCGCCCTCTCGGCCGGTGTCGTGTATGCGTACTGCATGATACCCGGTTCCTCAGGTCTCGCGTCTAGAGATCGAGAGGATCGTTGAGTTCTGGGAGAGTATCCTCGAGGGTCGGGGGCTCTGAGCCTCGGCGGTGACTGGTGATGGTTTACGCGCGTGTCTTTGTCTGAGATGAGATCCCTGAGACTGACATTCCTCGGAGTGTTGTC